CCCCATGCAAACTAATATTGCTCTTCTTGGGCCCTAGCTAGGAGTTCTATATTCCTAGCCATCACATCCATCTTCCCCTGCAGGTCCGCCTGCGCTTCCATCTGCGTCCTAAGCTGCTTCACTGCCTCCAATTCTTTCGCAGCTTTGCTGGCGTCCTCCATTCTCTTTTTCTTCTCCCTGGTCAATCGCAACTTCCACTCCAACTTTCCTCTTCGAAATTCTAGCATTTTAAGGGGTCCTCTCCAGCTTCCCACTCTTTCACTACCGCCTCCTGTTTTGCCCTTGGTACATACATCATTGCCTCCTCGTCCTCTCCCAGGGATAGATGAGTGACCCACTCAGACACCTTCTTGTCCAACCATGGGTCCTCCTCCTTCTTCGTGTCATTGGACTCCCCTCTGTCTCTCTTATGATTTTCCTGATCATGGGGAATTCCTCTTCTGCCTTTTTCTCTTCTTCTTCTTCTTTTTCCTCCACTGCTTTAAACTTTTCTTCCTCCTCCTTTTTCATCCTTTCCAATTCTTCCTCCAACTTCCTTTTTGCGGCCTGCTCCTGTAAGAAGGCTACCTTCTTGGCCTGCTTCACTACCACCTCCTCCTCCTTCTTGGCCTTCTGCTCGGCCAAGATCCTTGCAGCCTCCTCCTCCTGTTCCGTGGTGTAGGGAGTGGTCCCCACACCACTCCGAGTCTCTACTCTACACATGAACGTGTTCCAGAACCCCAGTGGAAAGAGGAGACACCAGAGGGTCCCCTAGAGGGAGAACCCCACAAGCAAGCCGTACATCGGGTAATCATTCATGGTGTTAGGTGCACGACAAAGTTGTCCCACTCCTCACCACTTAGACCTACCCACTCGACTGACTGACTGATAGTCAAGGACCACACAGCCTTACCCTTTGATCCAGCCAGGTTACCACAGCCGACGGAAGCTTTTGCCACCACTCTCCATTACAATCCAGATCCAGATGCCCAGCACCTGCGGTCAATCCCACCTGGCTTTCTCTCCTATTCAGAACCCTGTCAACTATGGTCACTAGGCTAGACCTACTTCTAATCTGTCACTATAGGACTTGAGCGTTGATCAGGAGGCATTTAAGGAGATCCGCCATAACTCCTCAGGAATTGTTTAACTTCACAAACAGGACGACGAGATCAGCAAGTCCTCTCAACACTTAGACAGCTGGTTGTGCATCCCACAACTCGGGATTTTGGGCCACCCATGCCACACTGTTTAGCCCGCCGGTCTATACCGGTCTTTGGGAGGGTTTGTCCTCCGGGACATGTCAGTCATCAAACATGGAATTAAGCCCTACTCAGCCCGTGTGGGTTTGGTCAACGCAGCTACGACCTCATACACAGAGTCCCTATCAACTGGACAGAAGAGACTCAATGCAAAAAGAAGAGACAGACAGACTCAACAAGTACCATGGGGTGAGTGCACATCCATAGGATGAGGGGATGGGCTGAAGGCTTGGCTCGAATATACCAACTCCATCTTGGTCAATTTCGTGATCAACAGCTCCGGTCAACACCTTGGTCAACACCTCGGTCAACACCTCGGTCAACTCCGGTCAACTTCCGGGCAACATCTGGTCAACTCTCATTCAACTTCTTGTCAACATCTGGTCAACTCGGCTATGGCTGCCGACCCCTCGTCAAACATGGAATTAAGCCCTACTCAGCCCGTGTGGGTTTGGTCAACGCAGCTACGACCTCATACACAGNACTCGGCTATGGCTGCCGACCCCTCGTCAAACATGGAATTAAGCCCTACTCAGCCCGTGTGGGTTTGGTCAACGCAGCTACGACCTCATACACAGTCCCTATCACCTGGACAAAAGAGACTCAATGCAGAAAGAAGAGACAAACAGACTCAACAAGTACCATGGGGTGAGTGCACATCCATAGGGCGAGGGGATGGGCTGAAGGCTTGGCTCGAATATACCAACTCCAGCTTGGTCAATTTCGTGATTAAAAGTTTTGGTCAACGCCTTGGTCAACACCTCGATCAACCCCCAATCAACTTCCGATCAACATCTGGTCAACTCTCATTCAACTTCCTGTCAACATCTGGTCAACTCGGCTATGGCTGCCGACCCCTTGTCTCCCTTCAACCTTCACTTCGCCTTCTCCCTCCTTCCTTCTTCTCACTTTCTTTTTCCTTCACCCCGGCTACGGTTTCTTTTTCCTCCTTCGTCTCTCCCTCCACCTTCACTCGTCTTCTCTCTTCTACCTTCGTGTCCGAGCTCCGCTGTTATGGCCGCCTTCTTCCTTCGACCGCACACCAATCTCTCTCTCTCTCTCTCTCTCTCTCTCTCTCTCTCTCTCTCTCTCTCTCTCTCTCTCTCTCTCTCTCTCTCTCTCTCTCTCCCTCTCTCTTCGTCGTTCTCCTTTGCAGGTACGCAGCACCTCACTTCAATGGCGTAGCTATGGCGGACGACCTCCTTCGATGGCGGGGCTACAACTATGGCGCCCAGACAACGATGGCGTGTCGGATAACGGGAACCAGCTCCGATACCAATGCAATCAGACGCGCTTTCTTCTTCACTTTGTGTACATCCAAACAGATGGCAATTCACATTGGTGCCAAGCGCCCACTCAAAGCTCAGAGATACGGAAAACGAGGACATAGTTCAGATGCAAACTCGCTTCAACAGGCTATGGCGCATCAGCGCTTGTACATCCCAACTCGTCACTGTGTCCAACACCACTTCGCACACAGTCAACTCGAGATCACCCTGAATACCCCACACATGCTTACTGCATTACACAAACGTACACACACACTAACATCTACCGCTGGCTATGGTGGCTATGGCCGCCGGCTACTACTAACTATGGCGCACTAACTTCTCCAAGCCCACTTCTACCTCGGGCACCTGCAGACCACCTGGCACAAGACGCTCGGGCAGTGCTTCCACATGGCTCACTCTGGAATTAATGGATGGCTGGACGCTGCCTCTTGATTTATACTTCTGTAGGTCGTTGGTATGCCCTTTTCCACGGGGCCCATGGTGCACACAGTCCCTCATGGTACTTGCTGACTGTGCGAAGTGAGACTGGGACTGGGTACCGCTGACTAAGCGAAGTTGGACTCACCACTTGCCCACTTGCCTCTGGCCTGCTGTGTATAACGTGAGAAGAAATTTGAAAGGCCACTTCCGAACATTCCAAAAGTTTGCGGACTTGGCCTTTCAGGACTGTAGAAGCTACGACCTTGACCTTTCAGGACTGTAGCAGCTACGCCCTTGACCTTTCAGGACTTCAACAACTATCACCCCTATGCACGTATGACCCCTACTTTGACAGGTTTAAGGTTCAAGACCTGACAACAACTCAGACCTACGACGGACAACTTTCAACTACTAACACACAGGTCATGGGTTCAAGACTCACAGGGTCGACCTGATACTGTACACAGGTAAGGTAAGGTAAGGTGAGGTCTGGGGATCAAGCCCCGGGATCCGCATCTGTGTCTGCAAAAAAGTGAAAACCATTTCAATAGGCAACAATGATGAATAAGTGAGCCAGAATCGATCTCCAATTGTCAGCTTACACTTTAGTAAAAGTATGGATAAGGGATATAAGCAACAATGATGAATAAGTGAGCCAGAGTCGACCTCCAATTGCATCTCCTTACTAAAAAAGCCCTCCTTTAGCCCACTCCATCTCCATTCCTACCTCCGTGTGGAGCTGGCTATGGCAAACATCCAAGGTCACCTCGGATGTTGAAAGGACAACACACATGCTCTCATTCCCTCTACATCACCTACCGCACACCCTACTTTCCCTTGTGAAATGATATTCAACTTGTTTGAAGTCGTTTCCCTTCAGGGCTCTTCTTGATCCAGCGCCATTTTGAAAATGAATGCAAGTCCACCATAACCAAAGGAGGGTCTCCTTCCCTGTTCCCACCTCCTTGCTCCTTCCTCAACCTCTGCTACACCATAGCCCGGCTACTTCTACCTCTCCCGACTAAACCTCCATAGCCATGGAGGCCTTCTCCATCACCCTCCAGCTCCACTTTCAACCTCCAGGAGCCCCACCACTTTTCCCTCTTGGAGGAGCAGCTGCATGACTGTCGGTCACAAAATGATATACTTTGGAAGCCAGCCCTCCAGTATCCATAGGCCGGGCATTTCCTACTGGGGTCCCCTAGTTTTGGACGGAATATCGTTGTAGACTTATATGCACCTACAGACCTTGAACCAGACTTCTACCGGCCTACGTTCACACCCTGGACCATCATTACCTACTCGTCATCTACCAGACCCTCCCAGGCCCAACCGACTTGCTGGAAAATCCCTACCAAGCCTCTAGCACATTCTACTTCGCGTCCCTGGGCACCCCCAATATGTCCTACCGCTAACTTCCAGTCCTGACCCCCGGCCATATCTCTATTACTACCTTGTTCCTGTACGAGGTACAGCCACACACACATGGCCTACAGAGTAAGCACAGGGACCCAGACTCGGACTCAGGCAGCCACACAACACACACACGTTAGTGGTATGTCACAAACATAGAGAGCACAGCAAATCACAGCAGAACAGACTTGTACTCGGAATTCTCAGAAAACAGATCAAAAACAGCATTTTCTCAGAAATTGCAGAGATCTCAGAAAGCGATTTGTGCATGTCGTTGCACAGGTAAATCACAGAACCAATTGATCAACAAAAATCCCGACAAAAGGCTACTCTTGGCAACGCACAAGGGGACTTCTGGCCACTTTTGGCATCGGGAACCCAAACATCACGTGTGAAACCCTGAGCAATTGTCATGATAGAAGAGAAGGCTACACAGACAATGAAATTGCCCCCAAAACAACAGGAAACCAGACTGCTGCCTTAACCCCACGATCTAGAAACAACTTCTCATCCCAACTGGCTAATAACATCAGCACAACCCTTCCATGGCATGCTCTCCCAACTCCCCAGGTGAAGCCAAACAAAGAAGCCAGTCACAACGGCCAAAGAGATAACTCACATAGGCCATTATTACCTGTCAATTCCTACTGCTGTCGCCATAGCAGTCACAGCCTGCCATAAACCATCCAAAGAAAACAGGAAATCAATTCTGTTACTCTCTGCAGTGAACTTTGCAAAGAACTCGGTTCGAAATCCGCACAGACACAGTCCAGGGGTCATACCTTCTGGTCAGAATCCAGCCGGATCTGGGGGTCAAAAGTCACATCTCCTGCGCCAGAAGGGTCTAAGAAAGGTCCTTATGGTCAATAGGTACACGGTGTCGACTGGTAGAATGGGTCTGCCGGCACGCGGATCTAACCACGTGTCTGCCCGCGGCTCCTGTCACCTGTAGAGAAAGCAAACAAGGTTAGTCCTCAAGAAACAGACGCGTGCAAAGAACCTGGCCAATTTTTAGGCAAAAGAAGAATAAACATTTATTTAATACAAAACAATGGGCGAGGCTGCGCAACTGCCAGCCTCCCCAATGGGTCTAGAGTCAGGGTCTAGGAAGTCTGTCTGGGTCCCTACAGATCTCATGAATAATCTGCACCTGCTCCTCCGTCCCAGAGGGTGCCGTCTGTAGCGAGCTCGCTGGTCCCAAGGAACCGTGATTGAACTCTTGGTATCAGATGTGTTGTCGCGGGCCCATTGGGGCCAGACTTCGAGTTCCAATTTTACC